TTTAGACCAACAGTATTAGGCAGCCGGGGCACACGATCTGGCTGAGCATCAAGGCAGTAGAAGATGAAGAGCATTACCGGTGATTCTCATCTCCTATCCGAAAAGCAACTGTTGCATCCAGTTTCCTAAGCTTATTGGTCATCAGATCCTCCAGGCTTTGACTGGCCAGCAGTGAGGGGTGGGCTCCTTTACATATGCAGTTGTTGCCTATTTAGGATGGTGTTATGGGGAACCCCCTGTATAAATCTTTAACCCCACTAAAATAAAAATGACCTCTTTGCAAAGGGTAAAGGAAACATACTGAGAAAAATGTATAGGCTGCCTTGATTACCTCCTTCTGAAAATGCTAGTTGACTGGCCTACTTTGGTTTTAATCAGACCCTCTGACCCAAAACAAGTATCTACAATACATCATGAAGGCAGAACTAATGAATTGCCTGCTTGTTCCAGGGCAATGACCTATAGTGTGGGAGCTTTTGGATCAGTATGGCTGTAGTTACTAGCATATTCAATGCATTTTACAGCACTCAGATGGAAAGAGGAAGGGTGGTGTTAGAGGCCAATCGTGCTGCCAGATGGAGAGATGATCATCATTATTATAATACAGGATTTATATAGCGCCAACAGTTTTGCGCAGTCCTTTACAATATAAGGGAGACAGTACAATTACAATACATTTCAGCACAGAAGGAATATGAGGGCCCGGCTCATGGAGCTTACAATGTAAGGGAAGGGGGAGGTTGTACAAAAGGTGATAGCTGAGGGGGATGATCTGATGGAGGTGGCTCAAGTACAGTTCTTAGGTGGAAATGGGGTAGGCTTCCCTTAATAAGTGAGTTTTCAAAGATCACCTAAAGGCAGACAGAGAGGGGGATAACTGGACACACTGGGGTAGGGAGCTCCAGAGTATGGGAGAGGCTCTGGAGAAGTCCTGGAGGCGAGCATGGGAGGAGGTGACGAGGGAGATAGAGAGCAAGATGTCTTGAGAAGAGCAGAGTGGGCAATCTGGACGATTACTGCAGATGAGGTTGGTGATGTAGCTAGGGGCAGTGTTGTGAATGGCTTTGTATGTTGTGGTTAGTATTTTGATTTTTATACGTTGGGTTAGTGGAAACCAGTGAAGGGATTGGTAGAGAGGAGCAGCAGTCCCTGATTGGTTAGTAAGGTGTATGAGTCTAGCAGCATTCATAATAGACTGAAGGGGGGGATAACCTATGTAATGGTAGACCAGTGAGGAGGGAGTTTCAGTAATCAAGGCGGGATAAAACCAAGACTTGGATAAGTTGTTTTAAGGTGTCATTGGTCAGGAAGGGGCGGATTTTGGAAATGTTGCGGAGCTTGAAGCGGTAGGATTTAGCCAGTGATTGGATGTGGGCTCCGAGGTCAAAGTCTAGGATTACACCGAGCACCCTGGCTAGAGGGGAAGGACCAATGGTTGTGCTGTTGATCTTAATGGTAAAGCCATCATTGAGGGATCGGGGGGAAGGAAATATTACAAACTCGGTTTTGGAAAAATTGAGTTTAAGGGAGTGGTGTGCCATCCATACTGGTAGATTTGTGATACGTGAAGAGATCGAGGGGGTGAGCTGGGGAGTGGAGAGATAGATCTGGGTGTCTTCAGCCTAGAGGTGGTATTGGAAGCCATGGGAGGTGATCAGTTGGCCCAGAGAGGAGGTGTAGAGAGAAAGGCTTGACTTTTGTGTGTGCTGCTGCTCCTTCATTGTTCAGGTCAGTAGGTTGGGAGGGGGTGTTCTTGGTCCAGCTATGCTGAATGGCATTGTCAGGGGTGTTTTATCATAAAAGGCCCTTTGTCAGGAAAAACTTTTCATTTCTATTTATCTCTGCTGTGTTTCAAGCTGCTTTCCTGGAGTTCAGCCTTAAAATAAAGCTGCCAGGCACACAAGTCTGTTCAAACTAAGAATATCACCTAAGTGTGGACACCCTGTGGTTCCTGCAAGTACATTTCAAGATCTTCTTAGCAGTTTCTGTGCACTTGCAGAGTCCTCTGTGTTTCTGGCACACAGTAAACTGAAAGCTTTAACTACCATAGAATACACTGTAATCCGCCTAAAACGTCGCTCCATCACAGCGTGCATTCAATGTGAGCAGATAGTATTTAGTCACTACCAGACAGATTTTTTTTTCTTTAATAAATCCTTTTAATTACCTATAATAAAACAAGTTTTCCCAAAGCCGTGCAGATCCTCCCCTCACTTCTTTTAGTATTGGACTATATTATTAAACTGTCTGTTATGTGTGACCTTTCCTATGGTATTTGCAGGCAGCTACCTACAAACAGGGATGTTGGGTTATTATGTAAATATTACACTCGGGGTTTAAAGCGGTTGTAAACGCATATACCCTGTGAACTGACTGGCCCCTAATAATACACAGAGATTAAACAAATCCTCCTACATAAGTTGTACCTGTTTATCTGTAGAACCTTCTCCTCTACAGCCATTCGAAGTGAAGAATTTACATACCTTGTCTAAGCTTTCAAAAAGCAGGAGGTGGGGAGTTAAATTCTGCAGAGCTCAGTGAGAGTTGATTGGAAGGAATGAATACACCTCCCTTTACTCAGAAAACAGGACCAGTACTGAGACTGTCAATCACAGGCTGCGTGCTGGAGCTCTTTCCCCTGTCACCTTTTTATCTTCTGGTGTCAGGAAAACCTGTCAGAAATGACTCACGCAGATAGCAGAGGAAGGAAGCAGCAGATAGAAATGACAAACAATATGGAAAATATATGCGAGCGCACACACAAAGAGAGTATAGCAGCTGTACACCAGGTAACCATAAAAAACCTCTAAAAAACAATGTAAATCAAAAGTGCAGCGCTAGAAGAAAACACATTATGAATATAAATCATTAAGTGAACAGTTCATATGGTGACTTGAAGTGACTTCAGGTGCTTTCATGTAACTGTATCCTCCTGGTGGTAAGGTGCTGTGAGATAAAGTGCGGAAAGAATGCACACTCACCAGAACGCACAATTTAATGAGCGTTTATATATATATATATTTCTCCTGATGTCATCTGCCGGTCTGGGTGGTGTCTGGAATCCTGTATATTCCCTTCAATGGTCCTGGATGCTATTAATAGGACATCAGGGTGGTCCAGAGTTCCCCTCAGGTGATAGCCTAGGGACTGCTCTATAGAGGTTGTGAAGGCTCCCTCTCCAGTGGTCAAGTGGATGGCTGTGGATTAATACTCCCCAAGGGAGTCAAAGCAGTCATAGTGTAGTAGGTATATACTTTATTGTGGTAAACAAAGATTCTTTAACGAGTGAAATAGAGGAGCTCCACGATGCTTCAGCGGCGTGACGTCACGGCGTTGCTGGCTCCTTTCCCCTGTCACCTTTTTATCTTCTGGTGTCAGGAAAACCTGTCAGAAATGACTCATGCAGATAGCAGAAGGAAGGAAGCAGCAGATAGAAATGACACTTAGTACTCTGGTTTGAGAGAAGCACACACTATAGGGGGATATGCTTTGTTTGTAATTCTTGTCTGAGGTTTATAGCCATTTTAATGTTGGGGCATCTGATTTCTGTATGGATGGAGTGTGCACAAAGCTTCAATGTTATCCTTTGTCGGGGAACAGTTTGTGCTATAGGCAGAGTCGCTCTTCAGCTGGCTGGACCTGCTTCCTGGTGTCATAAGTTGCAATGCATGTCCTTCACCCAAGTCACTCCTCCAGCCACCCATGCTTAGCACGTTCAGTTTTGTGCCGGTAGTTGAACAAAAAGGCATTTAGGGCACAGTAGCTGTGCAGTAAACACTAAAGATCCAAAATGTGGTTCGAGTGTTCACAAAAGTGCCATTCTGGGGTAGACTGTCATGGTTGAGATGTAATCCCAGAGTTGCATTGGTGTGATCGGCATTCATGGACCCCTTAAAGTATATGTGAACCCCCACCTTGTAAAACAAACCATTCAGTTTAAAACAGAAATGAAAGGGAGGACTTGTCCCAATGCGATCCATTTTTGGTCTCATGTGCTTTGATTAGATCGGTCCTCATTATCTCCCTGGCTCGTAACCCATGGTAAGCTGTATTGCATAAACCATGGGTGGGCAACTGTGGCCCTCCAGCTGTTGTAGAACTACACATCCCATGAGGCATTGCAAAACTGATAGTTACAAGCATGCCTCCCAAAGGCAGAGGCATGATGGGACTTGTAGTTCACCAACAGCTGGAGGGCCACAGTCACCCACCCCTGGCATAAACCTATCTCAATTCTTATCATGAACCAGAGGAAATTGGTGGGCTTTGTTTCCTGGCAAACATTCGTTCGAGCCTGGCGCCAACAATTCTTCCCCTTTGGGGAAATTAAGCAGAGTTTAATGGGTGACTATGGTGCATGAGACCTTTACATCCATACGATCCTCTCCCCGCACCCGCTGCCACAATTTACAAAAAATGCAACCCACCCGGCCATGTCATTCATTGACAGAGTTTAATGAATGGGGTAGCTGCAAATCCCATCAGCTATTGTGGAAGTCGGCTTGTAATTCTTAATGAAGTACCGGAGCTCTGTTGAGCACTATAGGTAGTTCATTGATACTTCCTGTCAGTGTGTTACTGTCTGCCCATACGAGGTACAAGCAATCCGATACACTGACAGTCTGCAGGAGCATGAGATTGCAGTCGTGATCTGCTGATCGTGGGTGCAATGCTTTATCAGCTCCTAGTAAAAATAATAAGAAATGCATATTTTTTTTTCACCTGCAAAAATATATGCATTTATTTATTTTTATACAAAGGTGAACTTCTTTACACGAAGTTTGACAGGTCACGTGACCTCCTTCTGCCCTGTCAATCTGTTTCAAGACACTTTTGCATTGACTTTCATAGGTATAGAGATATGAGGGATGCAAACAAAAGCCCTCCCATGCTAGCATTCTCTGGCTGACATTTGTATGCTTAGGTTCTAGACCAAATGTTGCACTGACTTTATTCTTGGTGGTCATTTGAAATGCAAAATAATCATTTTCTTTGCATAGGGTCAGTCACGACGTCTTCAGGTGGAGGTGCGCTCTGTGCAAGACTCTGGAACATTACCTCTAATAGAAGAATCAGTTTTGTTGGTTTCCGTGGGCTGTGTGAAAATTGTCCATGCAAAATCAGGAAAGTCTCAAGATGTACACCAGGTGAGTGCAGTGCCTGAACCGTGTATCAGACCATTTCACAAGATTTTCATATGGAGCACCAAAAGTTTAATTTCTGTTTTTGAAAGCTCCGTTTCTGTCTTGTTTCATCCTTGTAGCAACACCTCTTAGGAATCCCCTCACCATCAAGACTGCTGCGATTGCATTGGTCATGTGTTGGCTGCCAAAGGGGAAGGTCGGTGCAACTTGCCCTTGCAGCACTTGGAAGGGCAACACATGTCAAAAAACAAAAAATTCCCAGCTCACCTACCGGCCAGCCTGCAAGAAACCAAATTGGCCCTGTTTTAACAGTTCAGGTTAACACAAGGGGTTTAGTTTTCACACATTTGAATATATTTGCGTAAGCTACGGTGGCCACATCATGGCACCCCATTGTACCGCAGTCCAAACTCTATAATTTTGAGAGTCTCCCAAGTTGGAGCACATACAGTATATAGTAATGGATAGATTAAGGCCAGTTCACACTACATGTGTTTCAGTTGCTTTTTTTTCTGCATCCAAAATGCACAGAAAGTAGGTGATAAGGTTGTCAATGTCATAGTTCACATCAGTGCTTGCAGTTGCAGTGCGTTCCGGTTGCAGAAAAAAAAGTAGAACAGGCTGCATTTTTTCCGTACGGAACTGTACTGGAACGCGGTAAAACGCATCAAAAACAAACTGGAATGCACATGTTCTTATTTAAATTGAAGAAAAATAGAGGGGAGAAAATGAACTGGAATGCATAAAAATCGCACCCGGAATGCGCCAAAAAAAAACACATGCGGAAACACATCCGGAACGCATCTGGACTGCTTTTCTACAGTGTGAACCAGCCCTAAGGGCAGGTATGTCTGGAGGTAGCCCACTCGTCCTTAAATGTATAGGGACGCACGGGCCAGCAAAGGCAGTGTGATAACTGAAGGTATCCAGTGCATCCCTGCATCAATTCACCAACTATACAAGCAAATGGCAACCACCCCAACCTATAACTAGCCTTTGCAGAATGGAGCACATGGAAGGGCAACACATGTAAAAAAATAAACAAAATATGCCTTTAAGGAGTGGTGGGCTCCCTCCAGGCATACCTGCCCTTATTCTATCCATTACTATATACAGTCATGGCCGAAATTGTTGGCACCCTTGATATTTTTCCTGAAAATCAAGTATTTCACACAAAAAAGGTATTGCATTAACACATGTTTTGCTATACACATGTTTATTCCCTTTGTATGTATTGGAACAAATATAAAACAGAGGCAGAAAAGCAAATATGACATAATGTCACACAAAACCCCAAAAATGGGCTGGACAAAAGTATTGGCACCCTTAACTTAATATTTGGTTGCACACCCTTTGAAAACACATAACTGAAATCAGTCGCTTCCTATAACCATCAATAAGCTTCTGACACCTCTCACCCGGAATTTTGGACCACTCTTCCTTTGCAAACAGCTCCAGGTCTCTCTTATTGGAAGGACACCTTTTCCCAACAGCAATTTTAAGATCTCTCCACAGGTGTTCAATGGGATTTAGATCTGGGCTCATTGCTGGCCACTTCAGAACTCTCCAGCGCTTCTTTGCCATCCATTTCTGAGTGCTTTTTGACGTATGTTTGGGGTCATTGTCCTGCTGGAAGACCCAGGATCTTGGACGCAAACCCAGCTTTCTGACACTGGGCCCTACAGTGCGACCCAAAATCCTTTGGTAATCCTCAGATTTCATGATGCCTTGCACACAGTCAAGGCACCCAGTGCCAGAGGCAGCAAAACAACCCCAAAACATCATTGAACCTCCACCATATTTTACCGTAGGTACTGTGTTTTGTTCTTTGTAGGCCTCATTCCGTTTTCGGTAAACAGTAGAATGATGTGCTTTACCGAAAAGCTCTATCTTGGTCTCATCTGTCCACAAGACGTTTTCCCAGAAGGCTTTTGGCTTACTCAAGTACATTTTGGCAAACTGTAGTCTTGCTTTTTTATGTCTCTGTGTCAGCAGTGGGGTCCTCCTGGGTCTCCTGCCATAGCGTTTCATTTCATTTAAATGTCGACGGATAGTTCGCGCTGACACTGATGCTCCCTGAGCCTGCAGGACAGCTTGAATGTCTTTGGAACATGTTTGGGGCTGCTTATCCACCATCCGGACTATTCTGCGTTGCAATCTTTCATCAATTTTCCTCATCCGTCCACGACCAGGGAGATTAGCTACAGTGCCATGGGTTGCAAACTTCTTGATAATGTTGCGCACTGTGGACAAAGGCAAATCTAGTTCTCTGGAGATGGACTTGTAACCTTGAGATTGTTGATATTTTGCCACAATTTTGGTTCTCAGGTCCTCAGACAGTTCTCGTCTCCTCTTTCTGTTGTCCATGCTTAGTTGGCACAGACAGACACACAATGCAAAGGTTAAGTGAACGTCTCTCCTTTTTATCTGCTTTCAGGTGTGATTTCTATATTGCCCACACCTGTTACTTGCCCCAGGTGAGTTTACAGGAGCATCACATGCTTGTAACATTCTTATTTATCCGCAGTTGTGAAAGGGTGCCAATACTTTTGTCCAGCCCATTTTTGGAGGTTTGTGTGACATTATGTCGAATTTGCTTTCTTTCCTCCCTTTTTTTGTTTTGTCCCAATACACACAAAGGGAATAAACATGTGTATAGCAAAACATGTGTTAATGCAATACGTTTCGTGAGAAATACATGATTTCCTGGAGAAATATCAAGGGTGCCAACAATTTCGGCCATGACTGTATTGTTTTAACGCAAACTGTTAGACAGAGTCAATTTGGTTTCTTGCAGGCTGATTGGCAGGTGAGCCACTAATTAGTTGGGGGAATGGATAGGTAGCATTGGGACCTTGGAATTGGCATATTGGTGTTTTTTCCAATAGAGTTGCTTTGGTAAAGAGGAAAGGATCGCTGCTGCTCCTGACCAGCCCAGGTGAATAAACAATTATTTATGATTTATTCACCTGGGCTGGTTGGGAGTAGCAGTTATTCTTTCCTCTATACATTCATTAGCTCCCTGGATTGGTACTAAGACAAGCCTGCACCCCATGTTCTGGGATACAGGGATATGCTTTCACCTCTACTTTGAGGGGCGCCGAAAGCAATCAAACAGGTTGCAGTGTTGCTTTGGTGTTTATGCAGGGTGTCTGGATTCTGGGCTGGCAGCTTATACACATCAAAATGAGTCCCATAATTTGCAATGCAAATAAATAAGATTGAAGGTCCACACCAAGTACAAAATTATTGCAATTTAAAACTCCAGTGTAAGACCATACAAGAATACAAGAAATCCAAAACATTTGTGGGCCAAATAGTGCCCCCTTCAACAGGGCTTAACCTCCCTGGCGGTATGATTATTTCAGATTTTTGGTGCTGAAAGCGGTACCATTATTTTGCATGGAAATATGTATCTGTCCAAGCAAGAGTCTAGTAAACATTCCGGACATGATAAAACTTGAAACACGAAATCATAAATTATAATTTAATAATCATAAAAAAATTATAATTTCAATTCAATAATATAATCAAACCAAAAACACTGAAATTTGAAATATAGCGCCAAGTTCGCACATCACTGAGCAAAGTAGCAAAATCGTTTTCAGTGTCTGATGACGAATTTCCCCACAAATCATCACTCAGTTCTGCAAGTGGTTCTGATTTAGTATCGCTGTTCTCTAGCTGGTCTAAAACCGCTTTTGACCTAAAAGGACGCTTATTGGACGCCATGGACGTTTTTTAAGTTTCCAGGCAGAAAGAAAAGTAAAAATGCAGGCAGGGCGCAGGACAAAGCACTAGGGACAACATGTATGTGAAATGCTTTGAAACCGCAATGTTTTGCTATGTAATATTCGTTTACAAAAAAATGACAGTTTTTAAAAAAATTTTCCACCGGTTCCGGCCCCCATACGTCCCGATGTCACAGGGACCGGAACACAGAAGCCGGATGCCGGCATCGGCCGGAGGAGATGGCCGGGGACCAGGGGCGGACTGACAACTCATGGGGCCCCCGGGCAATAGGGGGATCTTGGGGCCCCTGTGTCCTTGCCCAAACTCAAAAAAGCCTATGAAAAAGGTACCAGGGGCATCTCATGGGGCCCCCTACTGACCCTGGGCCCTCGGGCAGTGCCTAATTTTCCAAATGGTCAGTCCGCCCCTGCCGGGGACGCTGCAGGAGGGACATTGCGGGAGCGAAGGACAAGGTAAGCGCTGCAGGGAATCCCTGAGCAACGCCGCATGGTAAGCCCAAGTGTAGCTCGGGGATACCACTTTTGGTACTGAAACTTTACCCCAAGCTACACTCGGGAATACCGCCAGGGAGGTTAAAGTAGACTTGCACCCTCCTGAGCTTTCTGCAATCTCATCCCTATCCCTCCTCTCTCAGAATATCAATTTGATTATTTTTTAATCCCTTTTTATTTCTCCCCACACTTTCTATGTTCTTGCATAGGCCAGGCACAGCCTACCGGGATACTCAAGTCATTCCTGACGGCTATGGGGTATTCCAATGCAAATGTGCAGTTGTATAGCATCAGAGGGCCGGCTGTCTTGCTGGTACTGGCCCCTGATGATGTCCTGCGGCACCTATGCGTCATCAGGGTGCCAGCTGCAGGAATCCAGAGCCTCCTGATGATGTCACATATGAAGATAATAGCGTTGGATTCAGAGTGCAGCAGTGGCACATCAGGGTAGGGTAGGCTCTACCTCATTCTCCCCAGAGCCTATTCTGCAGAGATCATGTGACTTGTGCTGTGGCATCAGTCACATGACTAGTATTGGAGGGTTTCAAAATTGGGCGGTTGTTGATTGTGTGAGATTTCCCCACTACCTGCCTGTTGCATTTCTGGCACAGGAGGTGACAGCAATTTAAATAAATAAATAAAAACCTGAGAGGGGTGCAAGCATTCCGTACTTCAAAAATAAAAATAAAATAAACATACAGTTTCATACAATTTTTTTTTTCAGATACTTAAACCTATACGTCCTGTGTATTCTGTATTACAGGACAGCGGAGAGGATATTGACAGCTACCAGGTAATAAAAAAAAAAAAAATGTATATCTATTAATATAAAGAAGGTATCAAAGACCAATGTAAAATATTCAGACCTTTTTTTTTTTTTTTTTTTTTTTTTTCAACTTGGCAACTTTGCAATAACCTTGTCTTGTTTGATCTGGTGTCGTTTGAAATCTTGTCCCAATTTTATGTCATTCCCCTTTATATACAGATTTTAGGACAGCTATATAATCCGGTACACTTTATAGCCAGCAGTCAGCACATCTCACCTGCCCTGCTCTTGCCGGTCTCCCCTGTGTCTTCATTCAGGGGAAACAGCCTGGCAAGGCCTCTGACAAAGGCAGATCTCTTCAGCCTTATTTCAAAGATGAAGCTTCACACAATTCAATTATTAGATTTAAAAATTGCTCCTTTTTCCTGTAATAAAGCTTGCCTTTGATGAGCTTATATTATTAAATCTGAATTCCAGTTGGCTTTTTTTTTTTTGCAGATGTTGCTTAGATGAGTTTTTTGAGGGCTTATTCACATATGTGTGTTTCATATAAGTGCAATATACCACACATTACCACAATGTACATTAAAGCCCAACTCTGGGCAAAATAAAAAGTCTTCCCATATAGTGGGGCTGTGCCTCCACTGCATGGGCCAACTGTTCATTTTGTCCAGGGGAGAGGAAAAAAACTGTAAGTTCATCCAATTCTCAGCTCCACTAGCAAACGGCGCTCCCCCACAATCCAGCAGTGGACTGTTCCAGACGTCCTCAAATCTAGAGCAGATCTATGTGTGTGATGATGTCCAGAACAGCCCACTAGACTGTGGGGGAAAGGGGAGAGCAGGAGCCATATGGACTGGTCTTGTTCGGGGAGGATCAGAGGATTAGGTAAGTATATCTCTGTTCTCCAATAAGAGAAGACTGAGAACCAAGCAATCACATGACCGCTGATCACTCAGTTCGCAGTCTTCAGTGAAGACAGAATGGTGGCTATCAGTCACCAGCTCTCAGCTGTGCCCCTCCATCGCTCACTGGAAGGCCAGGCTGTGGAAAGGGCTGTAGTGGCTGGTTCAGTCTCCCAGCAGCACATTGAGAGGCTGAGCCAGCTGCCAGTCAGGCATCTGGGTGGATGCCGACTTTACTGTTGGGATCCCTCCAGAGTTCGGATTGGCTTGGTGATTTCGGCCAGCAACAGGCTTTAGATCACAGGAGTGCTTGTAGGGCTTTGCCCTACATCTCCTTTAAAAATGGATTGGGTATGGAAGGGTAGGAAAAAAGGAAAGGGTGAAGGAAACAAGAAAGGATATAAGGAGTAGATTAGGGTTGGGGAAGTGGAAATTTGGAAAGAGGGTTTCTACAGTGCACTATGGACCATATATATGGGAGCTCTTCATGTACCTGTGCTACAGGGCAGGAAAATACATATCTGCATGTTGTGGTATGCTGTATTAGGAAAGAAATTATCTAGATGTGTTGCATGTATTGACTAACCATTCAAAATTAATGAGCTGCTTTAGATGGACTTTTGTCTTTTTTCAGCCAGACAAACTATGTAACTATGTAGAATGCAAAGTAGTCCTGCATAACAGCACACCTTGACACATGGCAGTTATGTGAATGGGGCCTTAAGTTTTGGTGTGGTCTTGCGTGAACTCCCCATCTTGAGGCTTAGCTGTAAAGCAGGAGACATTGTGATTTGTTTAATTTCAGGACCGGGATCTGGACAGACTGAAGAGGAAATGGCTGAACGCTCTCACCAAGCGCCAGGAGTATTTGGACCAGCAACTGCAGAAACTCGTCAGCAAGCCAGGTGAGCATGTGATCTGTTGTCACAACACAGCCTTGTTTTATAGTGCTATGCAACACTTGACCTGTGGTGAGGCAATGGCATTGCATTTGGTGGGTGGGGAAATTCCTGATTGGCTTTTTCCATACCATTCGGAGGCATTCTGGAGTTGTGGAATGATATACTTGCGATGTGTGAACTTGCATAGGTGTGTATCAACAGTGAAAAAACACGCACACTACATTACTGCAATACATTTTCCTGTGTTTTATCCATTTAACCTCCTAACATGGCAGGTAAAAGAAATCTTAATTTCTGAACCCAGGGAAGGAATTTCATGTACTTCCCAGCTATGTGATCGCTGTCATTGGCCATCACAGTGATATTGTGATTGATAACCCATCCTACCAGCTCACAATCGTACCTCTGTCACAGAAAATGTATGTAACAGCACAGAATAAGGCCCGCCTCTCTGTCCTGGAATCAGAGAATGCTGTTCATTCATTGAGAAAATGCTAAACATTTTCTGAATAGCACCCATGCCAAGCTGTCAACCTCCTGTATTCAGAATGCAGTTTGGCACAAGACCTGGAAGCTAATGGAGATCACTGGAGTATAGGTGCCTATACAGTGATTTCCAGCTTCTAGAGGGATCCCACAGGCATGGTACAGTGCTCAGCATAAATGAGTCCACCCCTTTTCAAAAGTAAGATTTTAATCAATATCTTAATGAACACAAGAACAATTTCCAAAATTTTGACAAAACTGAGTTTTATAGAACATTTGTTTAGCTCATTACATGAAAGTAAGGTTACTAATATAACTTGGATTACAAAATCTTCAGTTTTACTCAAATTAGTTGAGGTAAAAATGAATACACTCACAACAAAAACTGCTCCATCTAGTATTTTGTATGACCTCCATGATTTGTAAGGACAGCACCAAGTCTTCTAGGCATGGAATGAACAAGTTGGCAACAGATTGCAACATCGATCTTTATCCATTCTTCAAGAACGACCTCTTTTAGAGCCTGGATGATGGATGGAGAGTGATGCTCAACTTGTCTCTTCAGAATTCTCTATAGGCGTTCGATTGGGTTCAGATCAGGAGATATACTTGGCCACTGAATCACTTTCACTCTGTTCTTCTTCAGAAATGCAACAGACACCTTAGATGTGTGTTTTGTATCATTATCGTGTTGGAAAAGTGCACGACGACCAAGTGCATGGAGTGATGGTAGCATCTTCTCTTTCAATATAGAGCAGTACAATCTGTAGATTCATGATACCATCAATAAAATGAAGCTCCCAAACAACAGCAGCACTCATGCAGCCCCACAGAAGGACACTGCCACCACCATGTTTCACTGTAGGCATCATGCATTTTTCTTTGTACTCCTCACCTTTGCGAAGCCATACAGTTTTGAAGCCATCAGTTCCAAAAACATTTATCTTGGTCTCATCACTCCAGAGTACAGAGTCCCAGTAGTCTTTTTCTTTTTCAGCATGGGCCCTGGCAATTCTAGGCTGGCTTTTTTGTGCATGGGTTTTAGGAGAGGCTTCCTTCATGGACAACACCCATGCATGTCATTCCTCTGCAGTGTACGCCATATTGTGTCATGGGAAGCAATCATCCCAGTTTGACTTTCTACTTCTTTAGCTTGAAGTGAACTTGCATGGTGATTTTCTTCAACCCTTCTTATCAGAAGACGCTCCTGTCAAGGTGTTAACTTCCATGGATGGCCTGAATGTCTCTGTGAGATGGTTGCTGTTCCATCTTTGTTTGAAAGAAATCTTGCGAGCCAAAAAATAAAAATAAAAATTCCTGTTGTTGGATCGCAAACCTCTAGCACATAACTACCAATGTGAAAAAACCGTAAAATAAAGATGAATAAAGTATTGCGCTCACAACCCTTCAATCAATACATATAAACAATTAAAAAATGTGTATTGATAAACATGAATACTTGTACTTGTGAATCTATTTGAATCCACTCAAATAAACAATATGCATAAGACAGTGAAAAAGTGAACTAATAAATGAAATAAAGAATATATGAAAAAAATATAATTATATATAATAACGTCCCACAAAAAAGTGACTTTGTGCTGGGGAAATCTTCAATATCATAAAATCGGTGACTGCTTGTGCCTCCTCCCTCAAGTGAAGATATGCGCTCACCTCATAGATAGCCTGCAATTAGGCTATTATAGCTTGCGGTTCACCTCCTTTGGAACCTACTTGATTAAGAACTCCTGTTTGTGAAATATCCATGGAATGCGACATGTACTATGGAAAAAATCTCCTCTCATGGGGTGCCACTCTAATGTCTTCCTGTCTCCATCCGGTTCTCCATAAACAAGAAAAATCCTGACATGGTGCTTTATCGTTTTAAAAGTTTTAATTTGCTGACAGGTGGCACTCACATATATTCGTATAGTGGTAGTACAACTATTGTTCCAAACCGCCGCTGACTGTCGGAGCTGTGCGCTCGTGGTCCGGCAACCGGACTGACTCCCTCCGAGTGACGTATACAGTCCCACCCCTACGCGTTACGCCACTGGTCACGTGGCTTCATCAGGGGGATTTGATTGGCCAATCAAATCCCCCTGATGAAGCCACGTGACCAGTGGCGTAACGCGTAGGGGTGGGACTGTATACGTCACTCGGAGGGAGTCAGTCCGGTTGCCGGACCACGAGCGCACAGCTCCGACAGTCAGCGGCGGTTTGGAACAATAGTTGTACTACCACTATACGAATATATGTGAGTGCCACCTGTCAGCAAATTAAAACTTTTAAAACGATAAAGCACCATGTCAGGATTTTTCTTGTTTATGGAGAACCGGATGGAGACAGGAAGACATTAGAGTGGCACCCCATGAGAGGAGATTTTTTCCATAGTACATGTCGCATTCCATGGATATTTCACAAACAGGAGTTCTTAATCAAGTAGGTTCCAAAGGAGGTGAACCGCAAGCTTATAATAGCCTAATTGCAGGCTATCTATGAGGTGAGCGCATATCTTCACTTGAGGGAGGAGGCACAAGCAGTCACCGATTTTATGATATTGAAGATTTCCCCAGCACAAAGTCACTTTTTTGTGGGACGTTATTATATATAATTATATTTTTTTTCATATATTCTTTATTTCATTTATTAGTTCACTTTTTCACTGTCTTATGCATATTGTTTATTTGAGTGGATTCAAATAGATTCACAAGTACAAGTATTCATGTTTATCAATACACATTTTTTAATTGTTTATATGTATTGATTGAAGGGTTGTGAGCGCAATGCTGTTCCATCTTTGTTACATTTTTGTATCACTTTTGCTACAGTATTCTGACCGATAAGTAAAGCTTTGCTGATCATCTTGTAGCCTTCACCTTTCTTGTGTAAAGAAATAATTTTATTTCTCAGGTCTTGTGACATTTCTCTTCCATGTGGAGCCATTGCTGACAGCATGAAATGGGAGGGGTTTTCTTTAAGTAACGCCCTTTTATAATCAACTGTCTGCTGGACACCTGTTTAATGAATAATTAGACTCACCTGGAGTTGAATTCTTGTTAAATAGGATTTTGTCTAAAAGTTAGCTTTGCTCCTCAGACTTTCAATGGGATGTATTCATTTTTGCAACATGGTCATGAATGAATTTGTTAGGAAAAACACTTTTTTGTGTGTGCAAATTACCAAATCTTGTTTGTAATCAATGGCCTTCATTTGTTGGAGTATTTCATAGTATAGTGTCCTATAGAAAATGTTTATTCTGAAAGGAGAGTAAAGGTTTTCTGACAAATCTGTTGTTGTGTACTCATTTATTCTGAGCACTGTATATACAGTTACATTGGTCCAAGCTCGAATAATGTAATTATGTATTAATATCCATACCTGGAATTTTTCTTTATATTTTTAATGCACATTGCAGGAAATTACCAGGCTGCAAACAAAATACAGACATCAAACTGTGCAAATACAGGAGTTTGCTGCTGTAGATCATGTAGTAAATGAAGGGTTTATTAACACTTTAACTATAGGAAGATTTATGCTCTTGTCTGCAGATAAGACAGAAGATGATGCAGATCGAGAAGCGCAGCTCTTGGAGATGAGACTTACTCTGACCGAGGAGAGGAACTCCGTCCTTGTCCCTTCAGCCGGAAGTGGTATTCCTGGAGCACCAGCAAACTGGTGAGCACAGGGGAGATCTGTTTCTGATACTGCCGTCTTATACTGCATTTCCCCTTGCAGGCTTCATCCTTCTTTCATTAAACCAGTTCGTTGACAGGCAGGTTACATTTCTTTTATGGAAAACTGTAAAATTACTACCCTGCGCTCTGTGTATGAAAAATCAACAGTTAAAATCAAGTGAAAGTTATACAAAATTAAAAAAAAATAAGATGTATGTGAAAAATCCAACTGCCCTCAATGTGTATTCCCACCACAACAAAAACTAAATAAATCTCTTAGATGTGTTGCACTGTTGAAAAAAATCATATATAGAACACCCCTGAATCAAATAAAGTGCTTATATCAATATTGCTGATAGTAAATCATACCTTATCAAAAGTGACAAAAACAATCCAATAAAAGTGCCAAATAAAGTGCCAATTAAAGTGCCATCCTATTGTCATTACACAAGTTCGCTGACAGGCTGGTTACATTTCTTTTATGGAAAACTGTAAAATTACTACCCTGTGCTCTGTGTATGAAAAATCAACAGTTAAAATCAAGTAAAAGTCATACAAAATATAAAAAAAGTAAGATGTGTGTGTGTGAAAAATTCAACAACTGCCCTCAATGTGTATTCCCACCACAACAAAAACTAAATAAATCTCTTAATTGTGTTGCACTGTTGAAAAATCATATATATAGAACACCCCTGAATCAAATAAAGTGCTTATATCAATATTGCTGATAGTAAATCATAGCTTATCAAAAGTGACAAAAACAATCCAATAAAAGTGCCGATTAAAGTGCCATCCTTCTGTCATTACACAACTTCGCTGACAGGCTGGTTACATTTCTTTTATGCAAGACTGTAAAATTACTACCCTGCGCTCTGTGTATGAAAAATCAACAGTTAAAATCAAGTAAAAGTCATACAAAATATAAAAAAAAAATTAAGATGTGTGTGAAAAATCCAACAACTGCACTCACTGTGTATTCCCACCACAAGAAAAGCTAAATAAATCCCTTAAATGTGTTGCACTGTTGAAAAATCATATATAGAACACCCCTGAATCAAATAAAGTGCTTATATAAATATTGCTGATAGTAATAAAATTTATATCATATCAAAAGTGACAAAAACAATCCAATAAAGTGCCATGAATCATGACAATAATAATAGATGAATGAAAATAAAAAAAAAATAATGAATGGATAATACAATAATTATATGTTAAGTCCAATCACCCAAAGGTATAAACAATCCTTGCTCAGTCCAGCAACTAATGGCAGAATAAAGTGACTTGTGCTTCAAATCTTCACCGTCTTATGTGCCACCCACATAAATGTTGGCCTCTTACCAGAACCAAAGACCTTCAGGGTGACAGTGTATAGGAGTCTGTGGTTCCTTATTACACCCTTCATTTTCCACCTGTGGCCCCGATTCCATTTGATAGAAGGGTGTATAGGTGTCAGTGGTTCCATTTTCACCTCCTTTATGTTCCACCTGTGGCCCTGATTCCATTTGATAGAAGGGTGTATAGGTGTCAGTGGTTCCTTGTCACCTCCTTTATGTTCCACCTGTGGCCCTGATTCCATTTGATAGAAGAGTGTAAGGGTGTATAGGTGTCAGTGGTTCCATTTTCACCTCCTTTATGTTCCACCTGTGGCCCCGATTCCATTTGATAGAAGAGTGTAAGGGTGTATAGGTGTCAGTGGTTCCATTTTCACCTCCTTTATGTTCCACCTGTGGCCCGATTCCATTTGATAGAAGGGTGTATAGGTGTCAGTGGTTCCATTTTCACCTCCTTTATGTTCCACCTGTGGCCCTGATTCCATTTGATAGAAGGGTGTAATGGTGTATAGGTGTCAGTGGTTCCTTGTCACCTCCTTTATGTTCCACCTGTGGCCCTGATTCCATTTGATAGAAGGGTGTATAGGTGTCAGTGGTTCCATTTTCACCTCCTTTATGTTCCACCTGTGGCCCTGATTCCATTTGATAGAAGGGTGTATAGGTGTCAGTGGTTCCATTTTCACCTCCTTTATGTTCCACCTGTGGCCCTGATTCCATTTGATAGAAGGGTGTATGGTGTATAGGTGTCAGTGGTTCCTTGTCACCTCCTTTATGTTCCACCTGTGGCCCTGATTTCATTTGATAGAAGGGTGTATAGGTGTCAGTGGTTCCATTTTCACCTCCTTTATGTTCCACCTGTGGCCCTGATTCCATTTGATAGAAGGGTGTATAGGTGTCAGTGGTTCCTTGTCACCTCCTTTATGTTCCACCTGTGGCCCTGATTCCATTTGATAGAAGAGTGTAAGGGTGTATAGGTGTCAGTGGTTCCATTTTCACCTCCTTTATGTTCCACCTGTGGCCCTGATTCCATTTGATAGAAGGGTGTATAGGTGTCAGTGGTTCCTTGTCACCTCCTTTATGTTCCACCTGTGGCCCTGATTCCATTTGATAGAAGAGTGTAAGGGTGTATAGGTGTCAGTGGTTCCATTTTCACCTCCTTTATGTTCCACCTATGGCCCTGATTCCATTTGATAGAAGGGTGTAAGGGTGTATAGGTGTCAGTGGCTCCTTGTCACCTCCTTTATGTTCCACCTGTGGCCCTGGAAAAACTTTAATAGGGAGGTGACAAAGTGCATTGGAATAAGTGGTTTCTTATAACCCTCTTTATGTTCCACCTGTGAGCTTGTGATACCTCTTTATGATCTACTTGTGGCCCTGGTACCATATAATAGCAGGGTGCCAAAGTGTATAGGAGTCAGTGGTACCTTGCCTCCCCCATGTATTCTCCACCTGTGGCCCCAGTACCATTTAATAGCAGGGTGACATAGACATACAGTTGCAAGAAAAAGTATGTGAACCCCTTGGGATTATGTGGAGTTTGGCATGAATTGGGCATAAAATGTGCTCTGAACGTCATCTAAGTCACAACAATAGAAGAACACAGTCTGCTGAACAGAATACTACACAAACATTAGATGTTGCCATGGTTTAATTGCACATAACATGTAAACATTCACAGTGCAGGGAGGAAAAAGTATGTGAACCTTTGGACTTAATAACTGGTTGACCCTCCTTTGGCAGCAATAACCTCAACCAAACGTTTCCTGTAGTTGCAGATCAGACCTGCACAATGATCTGGAGTAATTTTGGACCACTCCTCTTCACAAAACTGTTTCAGTGTAGCAATATTCTTGGGATGTCTGGTGTGAATCGCTCTCTAAAGGTCATGTCACAGCATTTCAATCGGGTTGAGTCAGGACTCTAATTGGGCCACTCCAGAAGGCGTATTCTGTGCTGTTGCAGCCATTGTTTTGTTGAATTGTATGCTTTGGGACATTGTCCTGTTGCATCACCCATCCTCTGCGGAGCTTCAGTTGGCGGACAGATGGTCGTACGTTTTCCTGCAAAATGTCTTGATAAACTCTGGAATTCATTTTTCCATCAATGACAGCAATCCGTCCAGGCCCTGAGGCAGCAAAGCAGCCCCAAACCATGATGCTCCCTCCGCCATGTTTTACAGTGGGGATGAGGTTTTGATGTTGGTGTGCTGTGCCCTGTTTTCTCCACACATAGTGTTGTGTGTTCTTCCCAAACAACTCAATCTTGGTTTCATCTGTCCACAGTATATTTTGCCAGTAGTGCTGTGGAACATCCAGGTGCTCTTTTGCAAACTTCAAACGTGCTGCAATATTCTTTTTGGACAGCAATGGCTTCCTCCGTGGTGTCCTCCCATGTACTCCATTCTTGTTTAATGTTTTCCTTATTGTAGATGTGTCAACAAAAATGTTAGCATGTGCCAGAGATTTCTGTAGGTCTTTAGCTGACACTCTGGGATTCTTCTTTACCTCATGCAGCATTCTGCGCTGTGCTCTTGCAGTCATTTTTATAGGACGACCACACCTAGGGAGAGTAGCAACAGTGCTAAACTTTCTCCATTTGTAGACAGTCTGTCTTACCGTGGACACATGAACATCAAGGCTTTTGGAGATACTTTTGTAACCCTTTCCAGCTTCATGCAAGTCAACAATTCTTGATCGTAGGTCTTCTGAGAGCTCTTTTCTGCGAGGCATGATTCACATCAGACAGTGCTTCTTGAAACCAGTAAACCCAAAACAGGTGTGTGTTTTTTAAGGGCAGGACAGCTGTCAGCAACACATCCAATATCATCACACTGATTGGAGTCAAGGTTGGCTCACTCCTGGCTCCAGTTAGCTCTGGGAGAAGTCAGTAAGCTAGGGCCTCACATACTTTTTCCTCCCTGCACTGTGAATGTTTACATGTTATGTGCAATTAAACCATGGCAACATCTAATGTTTGTGTAGTATTATGTTCAGCAGACTGTGTTCTTCTATTGTTGTGACTTAGATGACGTTCAGAGCACATTTTATGCCCAATTCATTCAAAACTCCACGTAATCCCAAGGGGTTCACATACTTTTTCTTGCAACTGTATATAATATAAGCATCAGTCAGCATTTTGTTCATGGCTTTGGCCGCATCAAGACATCAGCAGGCTATCGGGGGGGAGGCTGCGATCTCAATCCTAAAATATTTCACACTTGATCAAAGTAATTCTGACCTTGTCCTGGAGATAAATCACATTTAAGTAGCCGTGCACTTAGGGTGCTCCCGTGTTAATTATCCAGCTCGCTCAGTTAAAAGGAAGCAGCGATAAAACAGCAGCCCCTCGTTTACATTTGCCACCAGCATTAAACGCCTGGTTCCTTCCAGCCAGCCGGCAGCTCCATGCAATTTTCCAGGCATTAAGAAACGGCAAATTAAAACCACAGCGAAACCCCGGCATTAATTATACATGAAAGGACAGAGGAGGTGAGTAATGCTACGCACAATTTAGTAGTAATAAACCAGCCGTCGCTGACATCCCGAATCAATTAGTAGGATATAATAATTACAAGGGGGAAAGATGTTGAAGAAGCAATCGTTCTCTGCTGGCCGGGCAGGCCTCGCAGTGTAGGGAGTGGGCAATGGCAATTTGTTTTGTTTTTCAAAGACTGTTGTTTGTACATAAATATGTGAATGAAATTATATCACATCTCTAACCAAACAGCTGAATACACAAATGACCAAAAAAAAAAGAAATAATAATATAATAAAATAGAATATTATGAAAAAAAAAAATATATATATATATATATACTGTGTGTGTGTGTGTGTGTGTGTGTATGTATATATATATATATATATATATATATATATATATATATATATATATATACTCACACACACATTTTCCTGCTTGTTCTTGAGTGCAGACGATAGTTTTGCACAGAACAGCCCTGATCCTCCGCTTCTGGCATCCCTGGTTCATGCTCTTCGGCGAGTGCCCCCATTGGAAGCCATTTCCTATGGGGGCACTCATGTTGACTTGCTGTCAACCCCTGCTGCCTGCGTCTATAGACAAAAACAGGTCAGGTTAGCTTGGCCCCACACCCCTGATCCTGCGCAACAGGATTTGACTGACAGCAGTATTAGCCAATGGCTCCTGCTGCCATCAGTCTGTCCAAAGACAGAGCCAGGAGAGCATCTGCTTTCACGCACAGCGGTGGATCGGGAATGGGCTCAGGTAGATATAAGGGAGGCCAGGGGGGATTCTGGTACACAGAACGTTTTTACCTTAATGCATTAAGTTAAAAAAAAACCTGTACGTTTTACAGCCACTTTAACCACTTCCCGTCCGGCCCATGTATATAAACGGCTGGATGGAAGCAGTGCATGGGTGGGTGGCCGTTTATAATCGGCCTCCCCGCGCCCTGCTTGTGTACGCAGCACCATGACCCCATGCCCGCTGTGTCCTTCGGACACAATGGAACACCGATCGTTGTATGGGACCTCTGTGTGAGGTCCTGATCATGTGATCACTGATTGGCCAATCAGTGATCACATGAAGAGTGGTAAGCAAGATGTCACATGGTACAAGGTGCTATATTTCAAAATTCAGTGTTTTGGGCTTGATTATATTATTGAATTAAATGTATTATTATTATATTATTATTTTTTATGATTATTTATTAAATTATAATTTATGATTTCGTGTTTCAAATTTTAAAAATACCCGGGATGTTTACTAGACTCTTGTTCGGACAGATTCAGTGAGTTATTCCTAAAAATTACAGGCCTACAATAAAAAAAAATACAGATTTCCATGCAAAAAGATGTACTGCTTTGAGCACAGAAATATGGACATAATCAGACCGCTAGGGAGGTTAACATCTTCAGATTGGCTGACTTCAGCAAAGATCATTTGACTGAAGGTGCAGGCTTTTTGTTGTGTGAGTAACACTGGAGGGTGTCCAGAGCAGAATTTTCTCCAGGAAAGTTGTATAAATCCATTTGTTACTCTTTATCCATCTATCCCAGCATGACCTGTAGCAGAGCATTATGGCAACATTATAGTATATGTTGTTCTATTCTTCCTTTTCTAATTGTAGTTGGAATGTAGGATCACTTGCATCATTTTGTTTGTCATTGCAGGACGCCAGTTTCTGGAATGGAGACGCATATCCCTGTTATATTTCTGGATCTTAACGGTAGGTAACATTTTGAAATTTTTTTAATGCCATTCACAATAAAAAAAAATTGAGCTATACAAGAATGCATCTTTAGTCCAATCAAAAACATTTCTATACAAATACAAAAAGGGATATCTGCAAGTCAAACACTTGCTCCCAAGTAGTCAGAGCTTCATACCTCACTCACCCCCTCACTTGCTATGAACAGAAATGCTTGCGGGACATTCCCCCAATCCCCTGGCTTCGTTTCCCAGGTATATTCCACCATTGTTACCAAATTTTCCCCAGACCCCCATCTTTATACTAAAAAAATATGGATCACAAACGTTAATATTGCACTTGAGTAGGAAGACTGGGACCAAATCTGGGCCTCTGGTTATTCCAGCTCTTGAGACAAACTGCAGGGCGCTCTACTACTGGTACCTGGTTCCAGCTAGGATAGCTACATTTGTTTCCGCTTACCCTCCCTATTGTTTCTAAGGGTGTTCTGAGTTGGGATCTCATGAACATATTAGGTGTAGTTGCCGAAATGTCTGAACATATTGGGACAAAAGTCATGTCAATCCTGGGCATTAAAGACGTTGTTAACCTCAGACATGAAATATGTACAAAGCATGTCCCTCTATAGTGTGTACTTTTTTCAATCCAGAGCACTAAGTGTCATTTCTATCTGCTGCTTCGTTCCTCTATCAGTCACTTCTGACAAGTTTTCCTGACACCAATAGAAAGCTGGTGACAGGGGAGGGACCTCCAGCAGAACGACAGTCTCAGCTCTGTTTCCATGAGCTTTATGAAGGGGGATGTGTCTCTTCCCTCCAATCAGCTGTCAGACTTTTCCTTACTGAATTCTGAAGTGTGTAATTTCAGCTTTCCAGACCCTTTTTTCTTAACTATCAGACAAACTTTCTACATTCAACACTCTGAATGGATGTAGTGAAGAGAATATCGCAGATAAACAGGTACAACTTTAGTAGGAGGATTTGTTTTACCTCTGTGTATCACCTGAGGCGAGTCACTTCACTTGGTATATGTAAGGGTTTACAACCACACTATATTGTCTCCAGATCTCATCTTCGCACTCTGGCATACAACCCAACCCACCCCCCATCATTTTACCACAAATGCTCAGTTCCAGCAAAAATTACAGGTACTGACAGCAGCCATACAAACAATAGCTAAGGCTTTGAATCTCTATGTATAATACATAAGGGGGGATATGATCGCCATGTATAATACATAAGGGGGGATATGATCGCCATGTATAATACATAAGGGGGGATATGATCTCCATGTATAATACATAAGGGGGGATATGATCTCAATGTATAATACATAAGGGGGGGATATGATCACCATGTATAATACATAAGGGGGGATATGATCTCCATATATAATACATAAGGGGGGATATGATCACCATGTATAATACATAAGGGGGATATGATCACCATGTATAATACATAAGGGGGGATATGATCACCATGTATAATACATAAGAGGGGATATGATCTCCATGTATAATACATAAGGGGGGATATGATCTCCATGTATAATACATAAGGGGGGATATGATCTCCATGTATAATACATAAGGGGGATATGATCTCCATGTATAATACATAAGGGGGATATGATCTCCATGTATAATACATAAGGGGGGATATGATCACCATGTATAACACATAAGGGGGGATATGATCACCATGTATAACACATAAGGGGGGATATGATCTCCATGTATAACACATAAGGGGGATATGATCTCCATGTATAACACATAAGGGGGGATATGATCTCCATGTATAACACATAAGGGGGATATGATCTCCATGTATAATACATAAGGGGGATATGATCTCCATGTATAATACATAAGGGGGATATGATCTCCATGTATAATACATAAGGGGGGGATATGATCTCCATGTATAATACATAAGGGGGGATATGATCTCCATGTATAATACATAAGGGGGGATATGATCTCCATGTATAATACATAAGGGGGGATATGATCTCCATGTATAATACATAAGGGGGGATATGATCGCCATGTATAATACATAAGGGGGGATATGATCTCCATGTATAATACATAAGGGGGGATATGATCTCCATGTATAATACATAAGGGGGATATGATCTCCATGTATAATACATAAGGGGGATATGATCTCCATGTATACATAAGGGGGATATGATCTCCATGTATAATACATAAGGGGGGATATGATCTCCATGTACAGTCAGGTCCATAAATATTGGGACATTGACACAATTCTAACATTTTTGGCTCTATACACCACCACAATGGATTTGAAATGACACAAACAAGATGTGCTTTAACTGCAGACTGTCAGCTTTAATTTGAGGGTATTTACATCCAAATCAGGTGAACGGTGTAGGAATTACAACAGTTTGCATATGTGCCTCCCACTTGTTAAGGGACCAAAAGTAATGGGACAATTGGCTTCTCAGCTGTTCCATGGCCAGGTGCGAGTTATTCCCTCATTATCCCAATTACAATGAGCAGATAAAAGGTCCAGAGTTCATTTCAAGTGTGCTATTTGCATTTGGAATCTGTTGCTGTCAACTCTCAAGATGAGATCCAAAGAGCTGTCACTATCAGTGAAGCAAGCCATCATTAGGCTGAAAAAACAAAAACAAACCCATCAGAGAGATAGCAAAAACATTAGGCGTGGCCAAAACAACTGTTTGGAACATTCTTAAAAAGAACGAACGCACCGGTGAGCTCAGCAACACCAAAAGACCCGGAAGACCACGGAAAACAACTGTGGTAGATGACTGAAGAATTCTTTCCCTGGTGAAGAAAACACCCTTCACAACAGTTGGCCAGATCAAGAACACTCTCCAGGAGGTAGGTGTATGTGTGTCAAAGTCAACAATCAAGAGAAGACTTCACCAGAGTGAATACAGAGGGTTCACCACAAGATGTAAACCATTGGTGAGCCTCAAAAACAGGAAGGCCAGATTAGAGTTTGCCAAACGACATCTAAAAAAGCCTTCACAGTTCTGGAACAACATCCTATGGACAGATGAGACCAAGATCAAATTGTACCAGAGTGATGGGAAGAGAAGAGTATGGAGAAGGAAAGGAACTGCTCATGATCCTAAGCATACCACCTCATCAGTGAAGCATGGTGGTGGTAGTGTCATGGCGTGGGCATGTATGGCTGCCAATGGAACTGCTTCTCTTGTATTTATTGATGATGTGACTGCTGACAAAAGCAGCAGGATGAATTCTAAAGTGTTTCGGGCAATGTTATCTGCTCATATTCAGCCAAATGCTTCACAACTCATTGGACGCCGCTTCACAGTGCAGATGGACAATGACCCAAAGCAGACTGCAAAAGCAACCAAAGAGTTTTTTAAGGGAAAGAAGTGGAATGTTCTGCAATGGCCAAGTCAATCACCTGACCTGAATCCGATTGAGCATGCATTTCACTAGCTGAAGACAAAACTGAAGGGAAAATGCCCCAAGAACAAGCAGGAACTGAAGACAGTTGCAGTAGAGGCCTGGCAGAGCATCACCAGGGATGAAACCCAGCATCTGGTGATGTCTATGCGTTCCAGACTTCAGGCTGTAATTGACGGCAAAGGATATACAACCAAGTATTAAAAAGTGAAAGTTTGATTTATGATTATTATTCTGTCCCATTACTTTTGGTTCCTTAACAAGTGGGAGGCAGATATGCAAACTGTTGTAATTCCTACACCGTTCACCTGATTTGGATGTAAATACCAAAATAATAATCAAATTAAAGCTGACAGTCTGCAGTTAAAGCACATCTTGTTCGTTTCATTTCAAATCCATTGTGGTGGTGTATAGAGCCAAAAATGTTAGAATTGTGATGATGTCCCAATATTTATATGGACCTGACTGTATAATACATAAGGGGGGATATGATCTCCATGTATAATACATAAGGGGGGATATGATCTCCATGTATAATACATAAGGGGGGGATATGATCTCCATGTATAATACATAAGGGGGGATATGATCTCCATGTATAATACATAAGGGGGGATATGATCACCATGTATAATACATAAAGGGGGGATATGATCTCCATGTATAATACTTAAGGGGGATATGGTCTCCATGTATAAATACATCAGTGGTTCATATAGTATAAAACTCGGTGTAGAGCTATTCACCCTGAGGTCATCACAGAGGACAAGGGGGCACTCTTTACGTCTGGAGGAAAAGAAATTTAATCTCCAAACACGGAAAGGTTTCTTCACAGTAAGAGCTGTGAGAATGTGGATTAGACTCCCTCAAGAGTTGGTTCTGGCCAGCTCAGTGGATTGCTTTAAAAAAGTCCTGGATTCTTTCCTAGATACACAGAATATAACTGGATACTAACATTTATAGGTAAAGTTGATCCAGGGAATATCCGATTGCCTCTCGGGGATCAGGATGAAATTATTTTCCCTGCAGGAGCAAATTGTATCATGCTTTGCTTTTCTTTTTTTTTTGCCTTCCTCTGGATCAACTGAGGGTATAGGATTATAACTTTTTTTTTTAATGGTTGAACTGGATGGACTTTTGTCTTTTTTCAGCCAGACTTACTATGTAAAACAGAGCTGGCAAAGTCTGAAAAATGCTCGATCTAGAGAGACAGAGAGAGAGAGCTTGAAAGACCAAGGTAGCATTGGTGACTTTTGGATTTCTGTCCTCATAGGTTCCTTCTGAAAGTCTGTTAGGGCTTGTGCCCATCCATGTGCATTCCACATTCTGCAGAATTTTCATATACCCATGCTTCCATAGCCCCCCTACCCCCTTTCCCCAGCAGGCATACTAAACATGGGGTTCATTAAAATCGTATACTGCTTGTGAAAGGCTTGCTCCGTTCTAGTTGATAACTTCCACATGTCGGCAGGCCACAGGCTTTGCCATAAGTGTGTACACAAGCAATAAATATAAGCTTTTTAGTAATTTTGTTAATTTCTGAAGCTGCAAATTGTGTTACCTAGACACCCATACAGATTTGTTGTCTGTGCATGTGCTGATTTTAAGCCAACCTAGTAATGACAGAAAAATACCCAACACAGAGTGACAGACTGTAAGCGCATATAACATGCCCCTATGTGCAACGTCCCATAATGATTAGTAAAATGAACCGAAGAAAAATGAAATAAGGCCAATAGCGGCAATTGCAGTGCCTCTAAAGTCCACTATTGTCATTAAAGCCAACCTATATTTTGGCCATGTAGATTCACTATAAGCCCCCAGCAGATTATTTTCCCTTCACTCCCCTTCTACTCAGTTCATTGGTGAGAAGAAGGAGAAGCCTTAATGAAATCCCTATGAAAAATAATTGGCACTATATGGGATTTTAAATGTTTTTATTTTTCTGTGCTATTACCTGCAGTGTTTTAATTTGTGGTGGAGTTCCTTTGGGGTTCTTGAGGAGTCCGCGAGAGCCCCTGTATTTGTGCCTGGCTCCACCATTGGAAGCTATGACATGCTGATGAGGGGGAATGGCCACATACAGCCCCTAGCTTGTTGACTTTTTTCACATGTACATAACTGTTAAGCTCCTTTCACATGTGCAGAGTTTGCCAGCAGATCCGCTTGCTCAGTCAGGATCGCTCTGCTGATCCCCACTGAGCAAGCGGATGACAGATCCTTGTTCGCTCCGCTTATGCAGAATGGACACAGAAACAGCCAGCTTTCCTCTATGGGCAGTCGGATGTAAATTAACCACCTGTTTGTTTACTTCCAACTGCCATCTGATCTAATCTGCTAGATGGGTGGGGAACAGATTCTCATCCATCTTTTTTTATCGGATTGGTTGCAGGCGGGTGTAAATGGACACATGTCTGTTTACATCCGCCGCTCCATTGAGGGCAATGGATGGTCTGTTTTTCAGGCGGAACCGATCCGCCTGCCTGTGTGAAAGGGAACTTAGATGCTTGAATAAAGTGTGGTGGCAATATACCTCAGGGTCTTCAGGGACTGGGTTCCATAGAGATGGATCACAGCCCTTGACCTATATAGCACACTACAGCTAACTCAACGAGTTGCACCAAGTGCTAAGGTGAGCACTCCATGCAGGATCCAGTGCCCAAGCAACATTACAGACTGTCCCTGCAGCCTGGTGTCCAGTTATGGCTCCCAAGGTTTTACCTAAGTTACACCAATCCAGATACACTGCTTCTGTGTAGGCCATAAGTGACAATGAGGGTTGTTTGAAGTACTGGAAGATAAAATAAATAACTAATGAAGTTGGTTTTTAAAGGAAGGAGATGATGTCCATTACCTAGAGACACTAACAAAAACTGAGGACTCAGAGTGGGATTGAGGTATAGTGGTGGTGCCCCAATGGGTTTTGTCCTTTGAAAGCTTGCCAGTGTCCAATCACATATAGGTACGTGCCTCTAACCCATGGTGTTTGAATAGGTTGCCGTAAGTTTGAATATGTCCTGTACTCTGAGATATGGACTTTACAAACAAGTCCAAAGTCCTCTGTTTCCTGTTTGACTTTAAACCAAGGTCCTGTTATGGTATGAGTTCAGGCCTCGTACACATGAACATTTAGAGGCTGCAAAGTATTCTAGTGTGAAATCACCAATTCTTTATTGCACCCAGGTTGCTGAATACAGCTTCCCATCTGCAAAACTCTGATGGGTTGGTGTACGCGGCACTCATTTCTCCCTGGGCTTGGGAAAGCACCAGGGATTTCACGCTTGAAGGTTATGCAGCCCACGTATCTAGACCAGCCTCGTTCAACCTTTCCAACACTTGAAATAACTTTCCTGTCTCACGGAACGTTTCTAAAAGTTTCTATATCTACAACTCCTGATACAGTAGTGTGATGGTCAGTGAGAAGAATGTTCCCCACACATGTGGTCATTGGGAAGAATTACCCCTTACAGACAGCTAAAAGATTAACGGTGTCACTGAGAAATTATCTGAGAGGCAGAAATTGCTCAGGGAACCCCTAACAACCTCTGGAGAAAACCCTAGATTTCCATGTAATCCTGGTTGAGAAATCTTGATCTAGACATCTTTGTGCTTGAGGCCTTACGTGTAAATATTATTCTTTATGGAGTCATTCTATAACAACCAACAGGAAATATCATCAATTCACTTTCATTTGTTTCAGCGGATGATTTTAGCTCTCAGGATAATCTGGATGAACCAGAGGCGGCCGGGTGGGATGCCACACTCACCAACGAAGAAGAAGACGAATTCTTTGATCTGCAGATCGTCAAACACCACGAGAACGAGGTTTGTATCTGAACGTTTTAGAATCCTAAGCTGTAAACATCGGTATAAAGGATCAGCATAATAGCTACTTTCATCCTTACCTTGCCCTATTTTGCTGCTGACATTTTCTTATGCTTTTTCAAGTTTCAAAACACATGTTTTTCTGTTGAAGTGAAATAAAATATTTTTTTAAAAGAATGGTGAAAAGTAGATGAATTGGCATGATAATTCTGAAATGCTGCAAAAAAAAAAAGGAAAATAGCTTCTGTGTTCCATTGGTGTTTTCTGTCTGGTTTAGGGTGTAAATGAAATACTGCATTGAGAGGCTTTGTAAGTAAATAGAATAGTTAGAAGTGTGGAAGGATAATCATGGTATTGCTTGTAGTAGTTGGTCACTTTCAACTGGACTTGATTAAAATTGAAGACTGTTTGCCACTCATCCACAAGACTTCTTCCATTCTAAATGAGTGTCAAAAACATATTCCATTATCTATAGAGGGACTCCAGAGGTGGACAACCTACAAGCCTGCTACCTCTCACACCGCAGTAGGTATTACAGAGCCTAGGGTAGTCATAGATGTCTTATCGGGCTTAACAAGTCCTATGACACAGCTGAGGGGAGAAATGAGAGGACTTCCCTCACTTTTCCCAGGCGGCAATACATGTGAGTGCATGTGAGGGAGGAAGAAATTTTGCTGGAGGCTATTTTAGCTTGGGGGTGGGGGGGGGGGGGGGGGATTTAATGTAGGAGGTGGATTTTTTTTCTTGTATGAGAAGTGGGGTTAGGGGGGTTGTAGATTAGTTACTCCTAACTCCTCCAATGTGTGTTATGTGCTATTGACGTTGGCACTGTGCGTTACATACTACTGATCTCTGTGTTACTAGATTCTGATCCCTGCTCTGCATTATGTACCACTGTTTGAGCTATGCTTTACTTACTCTTGATCCCTGCATTTTGCGTTTCGTACTTCTAAACTCTGATCTCTGTGTTGCTTATGTCTGACCCCTGAACTCTGCATTTATTACCTCTGACCCCTGCACTCCTCATTACTTACTCCTGACTCCTGCATTTCTTACTCTTGACCCCTGCACACTGCATTTTTTACGCTTCACCTCTGCACTTTGTTACATACTACTGACCTGTTGCTCAGGAGACTTTCATAGAGTATATCTAACTCCAGAATTGCAATGATTGCATATATCATTCTTAATTTTGATTTTACGTACTCTTGATCCCTGTACTTTGCGTTACGTACTGCTAAACTCTGATCTCTGTGTTGCTTATGTCGGACCCCTGAACTCTGCATGTATTACCTCTGACGCCTGCACTCTACTTGTCTTCTAACCGCTGTGCTCTGCATTTCTTATTCCTTACCCATGCACTCTGCATTTCTTACTCCTGCACACTGCATTTTTTACTCTTTACTTGACCCCTGCACACTGAATTTTTTACTCTTCACCTCTGCACTCTGTTACATACTACTGACCTGTTGATCAGGAGACTTACATAGAGTATATCTAACTCCAGAATTGCAATGATTGCATATATCATTCTTAATTTTGATTTTACATACTCTTGATCCCTGTACTTTGCATTACGTACTTCTAAACTCTGATCTGTGTTGCTTATGTCTGACCCCTGAACTCTGCATTTATTACCTCTGACCCCTGCACTCCACATGTCTTCTAACCCCTGCATGCTGCATTTCTTACTCCTGCACACTGCATTTTTTACTCTTTACCTGACCCCTGCACACTGCATTTTTTACTCTTCACCTGACCCCTGCACACTGCATTTTTTTTACTCTTCACCTCTGCACTCTGTTACATACTACTGACCTGTTGATCAGGAGACTTACATAGAGTATATCTAACTCCAGAATTGCAATGATTGCATATATCATTCTTAATTTTGATTTTACGTACTCTTGATCCCTGTATTTCGCATTGCGTACTGCTAAACTCTGATCTCTGTGTTGCTTATGTCTGACCCCTGAACTCTGCATTTATTACCTCTGACCCCTGCACTCTACATTTCTTCTAGCCCCTGCACGCTACATTTCTTACTCCTGACCCCTGCACTCTGCATTTCTTACTCCTGACCCCTGCACACTGCTTTTCTTTCTCCTGACCCTATGCACTCTGCATTTCTTACTCCTAACCCCACACACTGCTTTTCTTTCTCCTGACCCTATGCACTCTGCATTTCTTACTCCTGACCCCTGCACACTGCATTTCTTACTCCTGACCCCTGCACACTGCATTTCTTACTCCTGACCCCTGCACTCTGCATTTCTTACTCCTGACCCCTGCACACTGCATTTCTTACTCCTAACCCCAAACACTGCATTTTTTGCTCTTCACCTCTGCACTCTGTTACATACTACTGACCTGTTGATCAGGAGACTTACATAGAGTATATCTAACTCCAGAATTGCAATGATTGCATATATCATTCTTAATTTTGCTTTCTTCTTTCAGGTGAAGGTGGAGGCTTCCTGGGACTGCACCGTCCACAACTGTTCACAGCTCAGTAAAGGCTCCTCTGCAGATGAGAGAGTTTACCTCATTGTTAGAGCGACCGTACAGCTGAGCCACCCTGCTGAGATACAGCTGGTTCTACGCAAGCGCATATGTGTCAATGTCTACAGCCGTCAGGTGGGCAGGAAAACTTCAGTCATTTTTATCAGATGTCTTTTTCAGATTGTATGCAACAATGCAAACTGTTTGATTTTGAAGCCAAAAAATGCTGTACTCGGACAATGTCAGCAACTAATGAAGCTTTACCTAAGGCAAATACAGGAAGTTCACTATTAACCCCAGAATGATGATCTGACACTTTAAACAGCTGCAGGATCTCAATCCTGGCTGTCACTGACCGTCAGTTCCCAGTCACTTTCATCACACTTCATCAGCTATGCTTTAGTCATCATGAGTGACTTCACTAACAAAATAGGCCTCCAAATGGCATTGCAGCCCAAAGGTGGCAGTGGTTTTCTGTTTAATACTGTAATTATCAGATACAATTACAAAATTAAAAATCTATATATTTTTTATGTTTCTGCATTTCTTAGCCTTTATAAAACCCTGCTCCTTTTATGGTATTGGTATACCAAATAAAAGCCTTATATGCCTTTAAAGCAAAATAGCTGCCAGAGCATTATGGTCAGGTTACCCAATGAACATGGACACTGCTAAGTTTGGCCTGGTCATGTAGGAATCAAATAGCTCTGGGTCGTGTATGGGTCCATTTATTCATGGAGTGTAGATGTAATTTAATAAGGGTGGGGTATGCCACATACTTTGTATTTTTATAAAGATCCAAATACCCAGTATGTACCCCGCCCCTACCTAGTATACTAAAAACCTCAGATGCCCCATTTTACAATTCTCATCTTTTGTCTGCATCAAGCATTCCTTCCTGGCACCTGTGTTCTAGTGCGCATGTGTAAGTACAAGCAGGGCCATCTAAACTCATGGGCACCCCTGGGCACTGTCTAGGGACCCAGGTGCTTTGAGGCCCTACGATAATCTTGTATTACATCATACTTGCCAATCATCCCTGATTTGCCAGGACAGTCACGCTGTCCCAGGCAGCATCCGGGAATCTGGGCTGCAGTGACACCAGCAGCCTGTCACTGAGCCAGGGGCGGACTGACCATTTGGGAAATCTGGCACTGCCCAAGGTCAGTAGGGGGCCCCATAAGATGCCCCTGGTACCTTTTCATAGGCTTTTTTGGGTGTGGTTTGAGTTTGGGTGAGGACACAGGGGCCCCATGATCCCCTATTGCCCGGGGCCCCATGAATTGTCAGTCCGCCCCTGCACTGAGCTAAATCTGCAATCGGAATGATATCTTGTTTAAAATTGATTTTACTGCCTTATAGAGATGAATGGGAAAGACTGAGTCAGCTGTCCCATCAGGGGGTAGCACAGTTTTAAATATTTAGTGGTGTAAAAATTACATAAACAGTAAATTGCAATTTTACTTAAAGTGGGTATAAATGTTTTTTTTTTTTTTAATAGTCATTTTTTACTTTCCTGCTCTGTCCAATGGAATTGCACAGCGCATCCTCAAACCTCCTTTTCTGGGATCCCCCGCCGGTGCTCTCCACTCCTCCTCTTTTTTGTCTGTCCCCATAGCAAGCTACTTGCTATGGGACAGACATACAGGCTCACTTCTGAGGCGAGCTGTGTGCATCCATAGACAAACGCGTTGTGGTTGGTCCACACCCTCTGGCTCCCTGCTCAGTGGATTTAATTGACAGCAACAGAAACCTGCTGCCCTTGTGTCCTTTGAATGCAGGGAGGGAGAAGAGAGCAGCTATAGACACAGCGCACAGTGCTGGATCAGGTGGGGACTTGGGTAAGTATTTAGGAGGTGAGGGGGCAATACTCCTAGGGGGACATTTTACACTTTAATGCGGGGAATGAATTAAAGTAAAAAATTTTTTGGCTTTAGAATCATTTTACAAATGTCTGAACACACACACTAACACACTATATTGCCAAAAGTATTGGGACTCCTGCCCATGAACGTTAATGACATCCCAGTCTTAGTCCATAGGGTTCAATATTGAGTTGGCCCCGCCCTTTGCAGCTATAACAGCTTCAACTCTTCTGGGAAGGCCGTCCACAAGGTTTAGGAGGGTGTCTATGGGAAGGTTTGACCATTCTTCCAGAAGCACATTTGTGAGGTCAGGCACTGATGTCGGGGGAGGAGGCCTGGCTCACAGTCTCTGCTCTAATTCATCCCAAAGGTATTCTATGGGGTTGAGGTCAGGACTCTGTGCAGGTCAGTCAAGTTCCTCCACCCCAAACTGGCTCCTCCATGTCTTTATGGACCTTGCTTTGTGCACTGGTGTGCAGTCATGTTGGGACAGGAAGGGGCCATCCCCAAACTCTTCCCACAAAGTTGGGAGCATGAAATTGTCCAAAATGTCTTGGCATGTTGACGCCTTAAGAGTTCCCTTCACTGGAACTAGGGGGCCAAGCCCA